AGACCAGTCCATCACTCTTGCTCTATTACAACATGAAAAACACAGGAGATAAAAACCAGTCCCCCACTCATGCTCTATTATAACATTAAAGACACAGGAGATAAAAACCAGTCAACCACTCATGCTCTATAACAACAATACAGACACAGGAGATAAAAACCAGTCCACCACTCATGCTCTATTACAACATTAAAGACACAGGAGATAAAAACCAGTCCACCACTCATGCTCTATTACAACGTTAAAGACACAGGAGATAAAAACCAGTCCGCCACTCATGCATATTACAACATTTAAGACACAGGAGATAAAGACCAGTCCACCACTCATGCTCTATTACAACATTAAAAACACAGGAGATAAAAACCAGTCCACCACTCATGCTCTATTACAACAATACAGACACAGGAGATAAAAACCAGCCCACCAATCATGCTCTATTACAACATTAAAGACACAGGAGATAAAAACCAGTCCACCACTCATGCTCTATTACAACATTAAAGACACAGGAGATAAAAACCAGTCCACCACCCATGCTCTATTACAACATTAAAGACACAGGAGATATAAACTAGTCCACCACTCATGCTCTATTACAACATTTAAGACACAGGAGATAAAAACCAGTCCACCACTCATGCTCTATTACAATATTAAAGACACAGGAGATAAAAACCAGTCCACCACTCATGCTCTATTACAACATTAAAGACACAGGAGATAAAAACCAGTCCACCACCCATGCTCTTTTGCAATAAATATTTAGTTTTGGGTTTAAGATGGACAATTTTATTTCATTGAAAAGTAATTCTTTTGAAATAGATTATTTTTTAAATTAATTGACCATATTTATGACCAGTTTAAACTGTACTTTAAGAGGATTAATACAATATGTTTTGAATACATGTATATTCATAATGTGGTCATCTTTGAGTTCCATAACTAACTTTTAACATACCACATGGAAATTGAAAACCCGTCTAAAAGAAATAATCCACATTGCTTTCCTCCATTAAAAAGGTACCATATGATACAAATTTATTGTTTTGGTATATATTTCGGCAAATTTTGTTAATTATGAGCCCGAAAATAAAACATGATTCACCAAAAAACAAGTGAAAAGTATACTGGAGTTTCTCATTGACAACATATTTGTTGAATTTGGAAGTAGAATTTTCCAGCAGGTTGTCGGCATTCCTATGGGAACCAACTGTGCACCTCTCCTGGTCGACCTGTTCTAAATTTCATATGAGTCGGAGTATATTGAGGATGTTCTTAAGATTAACACTCCAAACATTTCTGATTGGATCTCATAAATATATCCTCCTGAACTAGAGATTTAAGAACCACAGACACAGCTTCCTCCACCTCATTTCTAGACATATGGAATAGAATCCCAGTTACAGGATACCAGTCCAGTACCCACGAATTAAGTCTCTTAATGAATCAACCATCATTTAAATTGGATATTGTACCGAGATGAAAATTATGTAAAGATGCTTAAATTTGTAATAAATCTAAAGGATATTCATTAATCTTTCAACTTCTGTTAAATTTTAAGTGATTCTGAAATGTATAGAGGGGACGATTGTCTGAGTAATTTGTCCAAATTTATTTTCGATTATAATCAGGAAGTTAATAAAATAACACTTATTAATACTCAAACCTGTATTGCTCTATTAAATGCCGGTCATGATCCTTCAAGAATTCACCAAGAAACTACGAAGGGGGCTACTGGTATTAAAAAGTAATTGAAATTTTGCAGTCTAATATAGGGAATAAAAAAATGTGCCCCTTAATTTTGATAAAATTGTATTGAAGTAATGGGGGAAATAATCGGGTCCCCGTTCCATATACCTGTAATTTGACTATAGCGGTCATCTCAATAACAGAATCTATGACTAACGAGACGATTTTAGTTTTGTATTATATAAATTTTCTTCACTCTCGTGTGGATTATACAATTCTCAACTCGTACGATATTCAAGAGCTTGCAGTTGCTTTTATTTTGTAATATGTCATCGGTGTCTTTGCAAAAATAGAATGCGTCAGGGTTTTGTCAAAGAACGTCTCGTCCTTTTTCTCCGGAAAAAAGTTCACCAGAAACAACAAAAACCTAAAAGATAAATATTCAGTGTCTACTTCACAAATGATACAAGAGGGTCTTGAGTTATAGATTCGAGGTGCTAAAATTGCTTATCTTATTATTTACTAAACAGTTTTACCTTTATTTGTCTTTGTGCTTTTATGTTCCCTTTAGTCGTATGACTCTTGGCGTGACTCGGTATTTGTGCATCCAGCTATCATGCAGGTTTTTTGCTTTGAGCGTTCTAAACCAATGATTCAAGATTCTTTATTTCTTATAAAATCAAGTTAATTGTACAAAGAAAGATATTTCTATATATGATAACATACATATTTTGCGCATAACAAGTCGAGCATAAAAAGATGCAGGTAGGTCCAGAGGTGCGATTCGCACGAGAGAGGTTTTTACAATATTGTTTTCATTTTGTTTACACTTGTATTTATATTTTACCTATTTGTACTTTATCGGGAAAGTATATTCTATGTAGTACGGCATTATGTTTAATAAACTGTATGTTTTATCAACTATACAAAAAAAACTTTTTTGTTGACGCCTTAGTCAGATTTATTTGTATGTTTGTTTGAATGTTTTAGTTCGTTGTGTAGTAGTCTATGGTGTATGTCTACACAGTGTTGGCTGCTGGATCCTAATTATTGTCTCATTAACCAAGTTATGTCTGTTTGGGTTGCTCACCCTATTTTGTCAATATAACGGAACAATAAACAACTGTCATACAAGTGGTTTAGCAAGCGATAAACCAGGTTTAACCCACCATTTTTTGTTTAGAAAATTACTGTAGCAAGTCAGAAATATGACAATTGTTTTCCATTCCGTTGGTTGATACAGTAGTCTATGTTTGAATTTGTCAGGCTTTATAAACTTCCCCTATTTTGAGTTTACCTGGTAGTTCGGTATATTTGTTAATACTATTTTTAACTATCATACATCGTACATGTCATTCATGTTATGCAAATTTATATTTTACAATATTGTCTAAATTCTGTAAATCTGAAAATGATAAGTTTAATAGGCAATAATTATCATGATTTGAAAGGTCATGAATAAATATGATAGTCACAATACAACTTAAACTTAAATAAAATCCTTATTTTAAGCCACTGTGAAACATTTAATTTTTCTTATAGCATTATATCTATACTACTAAAATAACGAGGTCCAATTTGTTAGCCGGCATGATAGCTTGCTGTTCGGTGTGAGCCAATTCTCCGTGTTGAAGGCCGTACCTTGACCTATAATGGTTTACTTTTATAAATTGTAACTTGGATGGAGAGTTGTCTCATTGGCACTCATACCACATCTTCCTATATCTATGACGTAAAAACGACGAATCAAAGAATTCAACTTGGGTCATAATCATTCCTGAACTTCGTCATTATTCAGGGATTGACACTACTAAATTCAATCATTGACCAAAAAAATATATCTACAAGTAGTTTCCGGTTGTAGTAAGAAAACCAGGACGGATCCAAACAGAAAGATTTTGAAAGCAGAGAAAACTGTGCACCTTATAATCAGCATGACTTTATCAAATGACAATACGAATACTAAAAATCCAGGCTGAAAATAAGGCTTAGGTACTTTAATTCAGTCACGGAACCGCTATGTCGCGGGTGTGTTCTAGTATTATTAAAAAACAAACAAACAAGAAAACAGAAATTAAATATTACACACATCTATAATCTAATAGTCTAGGAGTTAGTCAGTGTCCTCTTTAATTACAATTTAATTTTTTAAAAAAATTGACGTCTTTTAGTTATTTCACTTTGCTTTTAATGATACTTTATTTTTCCCTTTTAAAATGTAAGAATAGTTTGTTAAAATTATAGTTGTGTCACCCACATTCCACTTTTGACAGTGGAGAGCAATTCGCCCTCCCCTTTGCCAAACGGCTTCTACCCCCATTGTTCAGTACATATCATTCCGAAATTACGGGGTGTTCCGGCTCGATGTTTGTTATGTAATATAAATGTACTCTCTATCTCTCTTTCTCTCCCACTACATCTTAAGGTAGACGCACGCATATATAATTAGAGCAGTAAAAAAGGATTTACAAACGAGTTCGTCTTTTTATCCCCAACGATGTAGCATGTTGGTAGAGGACCTCAATTATACCCTTTTATGAACTTTCTTACATATTTGTCTGCATTCTGTTTTTAATAAATGATATTGCAATTATGTAAATCTTGACTAAATCAGCATTCACTGTGTTAATATCGTTTACACGCAATCATCATGCAGATAAGGAATCTATTTTTAAACAAACTGTATTGATGCACTTGCTGCTCATTATCGAACAGTTGAAATATTAAAATTTTTGGAAAGTCCCGTTTATTCTATCGTTTGTTGATACAAATCTGAAGGACACAGAACACTCGGAACTAATTCAGTCAGCTTTATCAATGAGACAAATTTAATTCTGAGAAAAAAATCACCAAAATTAATTTATGCTCTCCAATATTTTCGGAAATGCAGTCATATGCGAATTAGTCGGTTTTCATACACAGTTAAATTCGTTCATTTAGACAAAAATTCATGTGTGTTCATCACTGTCAGAATCATGGCTTTTACGCATAAAGGGTCGGGATTTAGGATCAGAAAACACAGCCCGTGTATATCCATTCATATTGAATTGTTATCGGTTAGCGGTCGTAATTTTCTATCCATCTGGACATTAACTCCTCTCATCAAAATTGTCCTTCTGTCTATAATTGGCTAATTTAAAGAATAAATTTTCAACATTTTCTCTGATAACATCTGTGTTGAATCTTGGACCTGTGAGACTGATAAAAGTGTATCTTTATATTATGCTGTTATTGATCTAATCAAAATATGATTATCATAATGTAAATGTAATGTTTATTATTGTTATCTCTTCTCATATTTATTGTAGACCAGATGTGTGTATCATCGACAATTGAACTACATTACACATAAAAGAGAGGAAGTTGCAAGATTATATTGAGGTAGAGTAACAAATATTGTATCTTAATAACATATACTCCTTTAATGTTGAGGTTAAAAATTACTTCTTAAATTGGCATAAAAAACCAATGCAATTAACTGATTTCGACTGATCAAAAGGGACCGATATACTGTAACTAAAATAGGTAGAGATCTATTATTATATTTGGTCATTTCCCTTATTATTTCACTACACAGGACTAGTATTTGGCTTGTTTCATTTTTATATTCAAGCTCTTTCAACTTTTCATATATTTCCCCACTAATATTTAATAGTTTTGAGTTTTGGACACTTTCTTGAGCGAAAGTTAAGTTGTATATCTTTATTCTCATACATCCAATGCATGACAACGTAACAAGGAAAAACAATTGCATATACAATGAACATAATTTGATTGCGTCATTATGGCTTTCAGTAAAATAGGTTTTGATATGTCTTTCGTTCTTGTGAAAAAACCGTACATTTAAATATGTATTGATACTCTTCACCAACTAGTACATCAGCTATATAAGCGGTTGTCCCTTTCTTTATTTTGTGAAAATACTTATTCCGGATTATCCGGATTATCCAGTTTGCCACTTAGCCATCTTTTTAAGGAGATTGGCCTAACACTATCAAAACAGCATCAACAAAATGTTTTTCTTCACAATTTCTTTTAAAATCTGAGAGAAAGAGAGATATCAAAATAGATGTATAAAGGTAAAAGCCGTAAATAACTGTTAGAATGAAACAATAAACTGTCATATAAAATTTCACAAATCTTAACCCACCTCCTTGTTTTCTGATTGCCTTGAAATCTGCACAATAAACTATTTAAGGAATACCTTAATAATAACTAAAAAAAAAATCACAGTTTCTTTATTATTCTATGTAACATTTTTTTAATAACTTATTTCAATCGGCGTACATGAAATGCATGCTTATACTCTAAAAATTGTACACGGCACGTTTCTCTCATATCAGTGTAGAGAAAGGACTAAATAAAAAAAAAGTGCGTATCCTTCTGTCATTATTATGCCAACAAATCTATATAAATTACAACAATATTAAACTTGAAAAATGTGCAATTACGTGTTGGAAACCAAGACCACAAAAGAAAAACATTATCACTGCAAAAAAGGGAGTAGTTATTTCACAACAGCATTCATAAATAGCCCAGATGTGTGTATCATCGACAATTGAACTACATTACACATAAAAGAGAGGAAGTTGCAAGATTATATTGAGGTAGAGTAACAAATATTGTATCTTAATAACATATACTCCTTTAATGTTGAGGTTAAAAATTACTTCTTAAATTGGCATAAAAAACCAATGCAATTAACTGATTTCGACTGATCAAAAGGGACCGATATACTGTAACTAAAATAGGTAGAGATCTATTATTATATTTGGTCATTTTCCATATTATTTCACTACACAGGACTAGTATTTGGCTTGTTTCATTTTTATATTCAAGCTCTTTCAACTTTTCATATATTTCCCCACTAATATTTAATAGTTTTGAGTTTTGGACACTTTCTTGAACGAAAGTTAAGTTGTTTATCTTTATTCTCATACATCCAATGCATGACAACGTAACAAGGAAAAACAATTGCATATACAATGAACATAATTTGATTGCGTCATTATGGCTTTCAGTAAAATAGGTTTTGATATATCTTTCGTTCTTGTAAAAAAACCGTACAGTTAAATATGTATTGATACTCTTCACCAACTAGTACATCAGCTATATAAGCGGTTGTCCCTTTCTTTATTTTGTGAAAATACTTATTCCGGATTATCCGGATTATCCAGTTTGCCACTTAGCCATCTTTTTAAGGAGATTGGCCTAACACTATCAAAACAGCATCAACAAAATGTGTTTCTTCACAATTTCTTTTAAAATCTGAGAGAAATAGAGATATCAAAGGAGGAGGGATGAGCCCTTAAAATATTTTATTATCCAACGGAATGTCACGGTCTCAAGTAAGGTTAGTGATAGTCGTTTGTTATCAGTATTTTTTTTAAAATCCTAACTGTATAAGAAGATATACAAAACACAGTTGCTGCGGAAGGGGTCTAGTGATAAAGATCTCGAGTACATCTCAAAAAGTGTTAATTAAAGTTTTTTTCTTTGCGTAATGCATGTAGAAATCCATAGAAAATGAACCCACCTTGAGTTGCATCTACCTTCCATCCCCCTTTTTTAAATCTATCATGTCCTTCTCAATATAATAAGCAGAAATACTGAGTATACAAAAGAATTTACAATTCCTGTCTGAGCATGTCAGCTTGCAATCGTCAGTTTGAACATGGAAGTATAATATTTCATTTTACTTCCATGGTTTGAGGAAGAACCTGCCTATCAGACAATACGCCAGCCGGGGAATGGAGAACAAGGGGTATCCACCTGCAAATGAGACCTGGCGTCTCATCTGCAGCCGGGGTGTACAAGGTTCGAATAGGGATAGCGTATGTGCTGGTAGAGTAGTAGGGGTCTATCAAACCGGCTATAGAATATATTTGTTAAAAATAATGAATGAAATTTTAGAAATGACAAGTGATAAAATTCTATCAAGGGGATACATTTATTAAAAAAAACAATAATCACCAGTAAAGCTGAGATGTTTTCCTTGTTATGAAACATTGTTGAAGCCGATAGGAAGGGGTTAGTGGGTGGTAAATTGAATAACAGTTCTGTTAAACTATATCAAGTTGGACAGACTGATATGCATATGCACATGGCTTTACACACAGATTTGATATGTTAATCATTCAATGGGAGAAGACGGACCTCACTCCTTTTGCTATATATTCTAATTGTTGTGTAATAATTTTGATAAGGTCAAATATCAAATTCTGCATTTCCTCGCAAGTATTGTTTGTGTGTTACATTTGTCTTTTTAAAAGTGAAATACCCCCTGTGAAAGCCAAATTGGAACTTCGAAGTGTCAAATGCCAGAAAAATCAATCTTGAGACATAAACCAGTGTTCAGTGTTTCAGTGTTAATTATATGTATCCAAGATGTCAACAATGTTCATTATATGTTAATTATATTCAAGTTAGGAATTGGTCATTAAAAAATTAATTATCTAGTGTAAGCTGGGATGGTTGTTTGTAAAACATAAGTGAACTCCACACATATTTGGTCTGTCAATCCTTTAATCCTTTCTCTGTTCTACTTATAACTGTTCATCAATAAAATTTTCGTATGATGAATCAATTAATCATAAAAGGTGTTATTTAAGCAATCAAGTCTCAACATAAAGATTGAAGCCAAGTACTTGTTATTTGTGAATTTGTGAATTTGATGCTATACACAACATTTTAGTAATCAAACAAAGCCTATCGTAAATTATGCAGCGACAAGCGTAATAAATGAAATTTGCTGCAAGCAAAAATACATCTTTTGATGAACTGATTATATAAGAATACGGAGATGTGGTTTGTATCCAGGCGTTTAGTTTTTACACCATTTTCAACAGATGTAGGAGTTTTATGTATACATGGTTTGTAGTTGACAAGTTAAGCTGCGTTACCATATATTGATCTTGATATTTCATGAATGGTACAGTGAAAGAATGACTCATTTTATCTGTGATCGTGAAGATGATTAGTGTGCTCAATGCCTACTTGTGTGCTGCCTCAGGAATAAGTAAATTCGTAGTTCCATCATTTTTTATTAAAAGCCAGAATATTCTTAGTATTAGCAATACAATATTCCATGTGGATTGTTTAACGAAAGCAACATTTCATGTGGATTGTTTAGAGAAAGCAAACAGTTCTTGACTAAAAACTTTAATACATTTTTTTGGACATATTTCGTATTCATGACGAGAAAAAGGTAAATACAATCAAATGTTTTTAGTTATTTTGATATACAATTATCTTTTTATTTAATCCCTTTGTCACTTTACAACATCTTCTTGTCAACTTTTCCATTTTGATTCTCAATTCAAAGGTCACTTCTCTCATAAATTTAGTTTTCTCTGGTCCCGAGGGTAACCTTTCTATACATGTTTGACTATAGTTTAAGCTTGAGCCTGTAGTTCAATTGTTGACGTTGGTTCATGTCTGTCATATTTGTTTTTCGTAAATTGTTTTGTTATAAATTAGGCCGTTGGTTTTCTCAATTGAATTGTTTCGTATTTTTCATATCGGGGCCTTTTATATCCGACTATATGGTATGGGGGTGTTCTCATAATTGAACACCGTACGGTTGCCTATAATTACTTACATCAATTTCATTGAACTTTGGTGGATAGTTGTCTTATTAGAGATTTATGGAAAGTATCGGTTCCGACTGTTTATACTCTGAAAGGAAAAATGAAGGGGATCGTCTCTAAATCCAAAATAGATGTATAAAGGTAAAAGCCGTAAATAACTGTTAGAATGAAACAATAAACTGTCATATAAAATTTCACAAATCTTAACCCCCCTCCTTGTTTTCTGATTGCCTTGAAATCTGCACAATAAACTATTTAAGGAATACCTTAATAATAACTAACAAAAAATCACAGTTTCTTTATTATTCTATGTAACATTTTTTTAATAACTTATTTCAATCGGCGTACATGAAATGCATGCTTATACTCTAAAAATTGCACACGGCACGTTTCTCGCATATCAGTGTAGAGAAAGGACTAAATAAAAAAAAGTGCGTATCCTTCTGTCATTATTATGCTGTTACCAACAAATCTATATGAATTACAACAATATTAAACTTGAAAAATGTGCAATTACGTGTTGGAAACCAAGACCACAAAAGAAAAACATTATCACTGCAAAAAAGGGAGTAGTTATTTCACAACAGCATTCATAAATATAGAAATTTGTCTCTAGTGATACTGCTCTTTCAAATACTTGAGGCATTTGAAGGCTTTCCCACAATCATCACATTTAACATAGTTATCTTTACTCTTTCCACAAAGTTTGAAGTGAGTGTCTCTACTGTTTTCATATTGAAATGAATTTCTACATTTGGTACAGATGAAATTCTTCTCACCCTCATGGCCCGC